GGCAGTAATGCAACACTATGGATGCCAACTGCTGTAAAACTCCAAAGAAGAAGAAGAAGAAGCCTGCAACTATTAGCCGAAAAAGCGTAACGGCTAAAGCTAACGCTTCCGGTTTGGCAGTACGTGGGAAAGGAGATCAGAGGCCGCCGTTTTTTATTTATTTATTTATCGACAGCCTATCTGCTAATCTCCAACATGTTTTACACTAAACAATACTTTTAGATTGAACTATTTTTAGAGTTTACCACGGAAAAAATGCAGTTTTATAATAGAAGTCACTGACTTTTTGCGACAGCTGGGATTCAGCTTACGGCACTTTCCATTCATTCTTATGGTATCCGTATACGGCGACTGAGTGTCGTACAACTCTGACTGAAATTCACGGTGCGTACTAAACATAGACTGTAAAAAAAGATGGACGACGCGTCTCCTATTCCTTCCACTATAGAAAAGTGAAGGCAAAGCATCTCAGTATGGCCGCTGCCATCTTGAGTAAATGATGTCATTTGGAGCCAGAGTCTGCGCAGTAGTGTCGTGAGGTGGAGCTACTGGTATCAAACTCCCGCAGACCCAATCAACCATAACGACACGCCCCGTTTTTATAGCATCAAATTACTAGCTAAAATCAAACTTATCACAAAAACGAACAATTGAACATATATCAGCGTGATAACAACTACCTTAAATGACCAAAACCATGTTTCGGAAAATTGTAATTTATTTATTTTTATTTTGACTCAAGTCCCATTTGTTTACATGGAGAGGGCAGGGTTTATGACCTGTATTGCAGCCAGCCACCAGGGGGCGATCAAAGAGCCCGCAGCTTCACTTTATTTGTCTTCACCACTAGAGGGCGTTAAAAAGACAGGAAACTATGTGAATGCAGTAGAGAGCTGACTGTGAGCATAGGTTTTCTTTTGCCTGACAAACTAATATATTAACGCTGTGTTCCAAACAGGATAAATCCTCCTCCGAAGGGCACTTTGGAGTGAAAACAATCATGGCCGCCATATTGAAGGGTTGTTCCAAACCGATGTACTCAAAACTGGCCACTTCAAAGGGCCCTTCGGAATGAAGGCTTTCAAAGGGTACAACTGATGGGCACTTCGGGCTCCCATGATCCTTTGCACAGATTCTTTGCATGATGACGGCGCCTCCGTGTGGACACGTGATGATGACGCAGAAGGGCACCTCAAGAAACAGTTGTTTGGTCCCCTACACCCTTCAACCCTTTGAAGCTCTCACTCCGGAGGGTAAACCCTTTGAAGGGATTAGGGCATAGTGATGAGCCCTTCAGAATGGAATGCAGGGTCAATGACGTCAAGGCTGTAATGTGATTGGTTATTAAGTATTTTCTGGTTCTAGTCAGAATTCTGGCAGCAGCGTTCTGGATGAGGTGCAGCTATCTAATGGTCTTCTTGGGAAGGCCAGTTAGCCGTTACGCTTTCTCCAATAGTAAGTAATACAGACCCTCTCATCTCCCTATATGTTATTGTATTTCAATGCAGTGCTGTTTCTTCTTGTACTTTTTTCACTTCATGGTCATAGCTGCTACATGGGTGTTTGGGTTCCTGGTTTCACAGGCACACTCTGGGTTCTGGGGAACTGAATACTTCAGTTCAGATCAGTTCTGGGCGGGTTTAGCATTAGGGACCCCCAGATGACCTCGTGAAGCTGTAAGTAGGGAGCCGCCTGCAAGGTGGGTGGGTGGGAAGCTGCCGCCCTACATAGTGACCACAATTGTCATTTTTTATTAGGCTACTGGTTTTCCAAAGATAGACTCACCTACAGTCCTCTTCACACATCACATTAAACATGCCACATCCAACAAAGTACCAAAAAGTACCATGGTATTTTTATTTATTTATTTATTTATTTAGACGAATAATCCCTTTAACTCTGACATATTCTAACATAGACTCCCATTACTAGGAATACTTACTATAGAGGTTAGGTTTAGTTGCATGTAATTATGCATAATTTACTGTTGTTATTATAATAGTAAGTATTGTAACATGTATAACAAGTCACTGTAATATAAAGTGTTACCAAGTGATTTTCTAATGAGCTACTTTAGCTTTACTTGAGTCAATTTCCATAAAGGTATCTTTACATTTACTTAAGTACGGTTGGATAGTTTATACAACACTACTAAGTCCACAGTAGGGCTGCACGATAAATCGCATGCGATATTTAACGGTTTAGTAATGTCTCTAAGACCCCTGGCATTGAGTGAAATAACAGAAATAGACATAGAATAAGAACCCTTAACTATGAACAGAAAATAATAAAGCTTACCGAAGCTTACTGGTTGAAAACGCAGAGGTAGCTGACAAAAACGCCATGTCAAAAAAGTTTACAGCCAACAGTATGTGCAGTGTTCTTCACAAAATAAAATAGCTCACTGAACCTCACTTGAAAGTATGAACAGTTCATGGAGGGTTAATTTCAGAACCTTCAATGAAAGCACGGTAACCAACAAAGTAAGCTCTTTTCCCCTCCTTACGTGTCTTTTCCACAGCCGGCCATAGTAAGAGCCTCCTTTCTCGGTTGAAAGCAGTAAGGTCCTCAGTAAACCGAAGACAGTTCGCACGCAGAAACTCAGATGATTTCGCCGCTCTCCACACCCCGACTCTCGCCACTCGGGAGGAAAACTGAATAATGACAGCTCGTGGCCTTGAGGTATTCAAAGGCCTCTTCCCAATGCGATGAACAGTGTCAATCTTATCCGGTAGAATTTTGCTTCCCTCTGGAAAAGTGGCAACACAAATACGAATGGATTCAGCTCTGATATCTTCACCTTTTTCCGGCACTCCTTGCAGGCGTAAATTCCAGCGACGCGAGTAACGCTCCAAGTCTGCAATTCTTGTCTCACAGAACTCCATCTTCTTTTCCTCAGAGCTCAATCTAGCTTCAACATGGCCAACCTTCCCCTTAACGTCATTAAGCTCGGCACAGATATAGTCAAAAGTTTTCTTTAGACCTTCAATTTTCAGAGCATTATCATCCACCATTTTCTCCAGGGCATCCAATCGGTTATTTATTAGCTGAGGCAGCGTGGAAATCACGGAATCATCCTCTGCTCTGCCTTTCTTTGAAGGCGGCTTACCAGGGCTCTCAAGAAACGGTGTAGATAAAAGTTTATCCCCGGGAGAAGCATAGCTGTGGACATCCACAATACTAGATACACAAGAAGTCTCTCCTCCTTTCCTTTTATCTGCTGCTGATTTCATTTTCAAAGTTTTGAGAGGTAACTTCACAGTAAAATAAATGTAGATTCTAATACGTGTAGCACGATTATATATAGCGTAGTTTAGCTGTTAAAAGCAGATTTGTCAGCGGAGCACTATATAAGCAGACTTAGCAGGACGCCATCTTTGATCCCCCCACATTGAGCAGCATTAACTACACAGAGCCGTTGTTCACTGACGAGCTGCGCTAAACCACGTTCATATTCGCGCGATTTTTTGCGCAGCTCGTCAGTGAACAACGGCTCTGTGTAGTTAATGCTGCTCAATGTGAAAGCCCGCAGGTGATGGAGATTTACCGCTGATTACAGAACCGGCTTCACTGACAAGATGCGCGTTAAATATCGCAAGCGATTTATCGTGCAGCCCTAGTCCACAGCTATAGATGAAGAGTCAAAGCTCAGGGTTTATGGTGGTTTCTGCGGTTTGCACCTGCTGGTAGATGAGGTAACTACGCCAGTCTATATTCCTCTTGATTTGAAGCAAAACACACTCTGTGTTGTTTATAAATGAACTGCAGGTTGAATGAATGATTGATGACTCAACACCTACTGGCATAACAATAAAAAAAGACAGTAAAAATTGCCTTTACTATTGTTGCTACTGCAGTTGGCTGGTTCTGTTTTTATTGTTTGATTCCTATCTGATCAATCAATAAAGTGTCACCATACTTCTCTTCATTTTGAATTGTATTTATTTTTTTATTATACTTAACTAAGCCTCAGGCCATTAACACACGTTGTAGAACTGACAAAAATAATATATTTGTGTGAACTGTACACTGTGTTTTTAACCCTGTAAAGCAGGGCTGTCCAAACTCGGTCCTGGAGGGCCGGTGTCCTGCAGAGTTTAGCTCCAACTTGCCTCAACACAC